ATCTAAACCAGTCAGGTGAAGGTTTATTTGGTATCATTGAGAATAAATTGTTGCTAACTTAAGCTTTTGTTTATCTTGTTTTAATTTTTAGTTTAGACCTATTCAACAAACTGGATCATATTCAGTGATTCAGCACTAAATGCTGCGTTTGAGCAGAAAAATCTTTATTTAAAGTTTGTTTAAAGTTTCATTAGCCGTGAACCCATTAGTTCTGCATCTTTAACTCTCCTGGTGGTCTTTATCACAAGCTGAATTTAATCACAATGAAAGGCAGTGTGTGGGTAAAAATTCCCAGTTTAATAGCTTCGGCTCATCCTGAAACGGTGCGACTTTAAGAGGTTTACAGTTTTCACTAATTAGTCAGCCCCGCAGAGGGAACAACAGGAYGTCTCAGCAGCCTTCAGGTCCAAAAAAGCAGCTGAACATCAGCTCACTTTAAACACTGAGCAGTGATGAAGACCTGCAAACAGCTTGGCAGGTTTGGTGAAAAGTTTTCTTGCACACAGAAACACTCAGATCCTGTCTTTAACGTTCACATAAAGGGACGAGGCAGCTGGGCAGAAACTGCAGGATTTTCTCGGCACACATGAAGTGTCTGCTTTTGTCTGTCTCCTGTCAGCCGTCACCCTCGCCCCCCTTCACACTCCGACRTGAATACTGATAACCTCTGTCTCACACGTGTTTTAACACCTTCCTCTCTCTCTTTCTCTCTCTCTCTGTAAGCTCGGCTGTTTGCTGCGACTTATAGAAAATCAAAACAAGACAGAACAGCAGCAAGGGGAGGCTATGATGCTCCATTCCTCCACTTTAAATTAGTCAGTGCAGGTGTTAGCATTAGTCCAACCTAATTCAACCAAAAGGTTTTAGCATCACCTGTTGATTTTGTGCAGGAATTCTTTTTGGAAACTGTGTTTAGATTAAAACATCCTGCCAACATTGGGCTGAAGCTAATCATTGAAATTTGTCAGGTGATCGCTAAGGAAGGATGTTAAAAGTTTATTTTTAGTTTACATTTTTAAAAAAGACCTGGGTTTTGTTGCAKGGGTGGAGTCAGAGGGGTGCCACACCAGKTGCCACCCTCAAATGATTRACAAGTGGGGTGGAGTTTTCCATGTGGCACTTCAAGATTGGGCACACAATGAGAAACATTTTTTGCTACAGYTGAGGTAAATCATGAGGRTTGCTCTTGGCTACCAACACACCAAATTTCAGCTTAGTATTTTTTTTAAAAATAGCTGAGTTGTAGCCAATTAGCGTTGGCAGCCATCTTGGATTTTGCATCTGAAATCAGATTTTGTAAAATATTGTTTCTCGGCTACTATGACACTAATTTTCAGCTGTTTTTAAAAAGGGCTAAATTATAGCCCTTGGTGATGTTAGCATTAGCAGTTATTTTAGCCACAATCACACAATTTCAGATTAATATTTCTTAAAGCAGATCAATTAGAACCATTTAAAGTTAGCTGTGGAGGCCATCTTGTAATTTGAAATCCAGAGTGCTTTTATTTATTTTAGATATTTTTTATGTGCCCCCCTAAAACCCACCTTGGCCACCCCGTGCCACCCGATGCAAAAATGTCTAATTCCACCCCTGTTCTGTTGCAACACAAGCAAGATGCAAATCTGACCTTCCACAGAAGCTTGAAG